CGTGGGCAGCAAGACCTGGTCCACACATGCGTCGCTGCCCGTCCAATTGTTGCGCTGCAAGACCTTCCAAGCTCGTCTCGGCAACAAGCATTGCAAACCCAAAGTGCACAGCATCTGAACCAGCCGTGGACGACCAAGATTGTATCGATCAACCACTCTGAAAAAATCATGCTTGCCCCAATCTCCATAGAACAAATTTGATACAACATGCCTGCGGTAACGGTCGTACGGAGTAGAACCAGATAAGCACAACTGCAAAGTAGACTCCATCCTGTCCAGCGCCTCAGTGCCCAAACTGTCGGCGGAAATGATTCTGACTCTCTCCTGGATGATCGCTCGGGCGGCGTCGATCACATTCGAGCCGTGCGACCCTTGCATCGACAACTGCAGCCTGATAAGATGTGAATCAACTGGTTTCTGAACTAGGTTTAACTCCCCATTGCATTGGGCCTTTTTGTGGGCTAGACAAAGAAGGGTGAGCGTTGTCTCACAGGGCCCAGCTCGATCTTCGAGGTATCGCTCTGCTCGAATATTCGGGGCGCCCTCGTCGTGACACGCGATGTTCACTACCCTCTCAACGCCTGCGACAAGATCGGACTCGCCTTCGAAGTTCTGCAGGCGTAAGCTCTCAACGACTGTCTCACCATTGTTCTTGTCGATCGTCTGTAAGATGGCAGGCAGTCGACCGAGCAGCGTAAGGTATTCGGACCGATCTCCACGAAGACGTCGTAGGATGAGTCCCCAAGCAAGTTCACTCACCATGACCTTATGGCGTTTGTCTTGCTTGTCCAAGAGGTGCCCTCGATTGTCGGGAATCGCTAACAGGTCGTGGCCAGGCGCATCGACTCCCGCAGGTATCGGGGCGACGCAAGGCTGCTGGGCCTCATCATATTTCCTGCGCCTGATGTAAACAACTGCTTTCGAATTGTCATCTCCAGAGCCGCCCAGTCCAGACCGACGAACTGCACTGCAAAGAAGGTCGGCAACTTTCTTGCGAAGGCCTCTATACAAGTAAAACGCACTTGCCCGAGCCTTCTCAACAAGATGGTTGCTGCTACCTCCACCATGTAATAAGGACCTGGCTTTCGACGTGCACTGAACCTGAGCCTGATATGTGTGGACGATTTCCCTGCAACCATCTAGTCGTCTCTGGCGCAACCTGTTTCTCATCGCCAGGTCTGGTCGCGGAACGTCGGCAATGGGTGCGCACGCGTCACTGACAGCAGGGGCAGGATGGACTGCAACAATCGCATGACATGGTACCAGCTCAGGGAGGCGATCGATGGGATCGGCTGCAGCGTTCCAGTCGTCGTCGTCGCTCTGCGCATCTGATGCAGGAGGGGCCGCGACGATCTGACCACCACCACTAGCGTTCCAATCATCAGAATCACTGTCTAGCATGGCCACTGCCAGGTGGCCTGCGGTGCGCTCGCTTCATTGTTCGGAGCAGCCTGTCGCCCCAAAATGGGGCCGAAGGTCGAAACAGTTTGAGCCAACATGGTTGTGGCAGCTCCCCCTTTTTACGCCCCCTCCTGTCGTGAAGTTCCTCCTCGCCCGTACCCTCCTCCCCACTCGCCCCCCATCGTCTGGCGTTTGGCTGCGTTTCCTTTGCTGTATGTTACATCGGGCCCCCACGTGTGTTTGATGCACCTACCCCGAGATTACGTTGGCCCGACGCGTTTGGGGTTCGGTGGGAACTTGCAAGCCCCAAAAACCAACAACCTGAATCTCCCTACCTTATTTCAGTGCTGTCGGACAGTTCAGGGTGCTCCCAAGGTTTGGAGGGCTAAACAGGTCCTTGTTGGCATTGCCCTCATGTGTCTCTAGAGGGGGGCTCGTCGCCGTCGCCGTCTCCACCGCCAGCGTCACCAACGTCGTGTCACCGTGTCTGTCGGGGGTGGCTTGTATCTATTGAACTCTGACAACTACGAGGAGGACCAAGGAGGCCCGAAGGCACTGGGGGGAGGGAGGAGGATGGAGGGCTGTAGGGTCCCACGAAAAGGCAAAGTAGGCCGAGGAATGTCTGAACGAGAAGCTGGAGGAGATGGGGCGAGGATGCGTCTAGCACACTCTGCATCAACAGACATTTCAACTACTTACATGAGTGCTGCTTTGAGCTGGATCCGAAATATCAGAAAAAAGCGAGGTCGATATTGAACTCGCCACATACAGCGCGAAAAACACCAAAACGAAAACGACCTTCGGGCCCTCGCGCGCGAAAACAACGAATCGCAATCGACCCGACACCACCATTTCGAAACGACTACGAGGACGACCTCCGAACCACCTTTGGGGATTTCTCAATTTGCCTGGTTCCGAGACTTCTACCGAGGAGACGCACTCCAGGTTGAGCCAGGCAGAGTCGGCCCCTCCGATTCCTCCCCGTGGGCACGGGCATCCCACGAGGAGCGCCGATCCAGCCAACGCCTTGGGCAGAGTCCGACAAGAAGAAGAAGAAGAATAATAATAATAATAATAATAATAATAATTTGAGGGAGTTTCTGTGGAACTCACGTCATCCTCACCCCCGGCGCGAAGAGCACGAGTCCAGAGCGGCCTCCGGCACCGTTTCCGGACGGATCCGGACGGATCCGCTGGATCCGGGGACGAATCCCAAACCGGCGCCCTCGCCTGAGACATCCCCGCAAAACCGGCCCCGGGGGAGGTGCCCAGAGGAGCCCAGAGCGGCCTCCGGCACCGTTTCCGGACGGATCCGGACGGATCCGCTGGATCCGGGGACGAATCCCAAACCGGCGCCCTCGCCTGAGACATCCCCGCAAAACCGGCCCCGGGGGAGGTGCCCAGAGGAGCCCAGAGCGGCCTCCGGCACCGTTTCCGGACGGATCCGGACGGATCCGCTGGATCCGGGGACGAATCCCAAACCGGCGCCCTCGCCTCAGACATCCCCGGAAAACCGGCCCCGGGGGAGGTGCCCAGAGGAGCCCAGAGCGGCCTCCGGCACCGTTTCCGGACGGATCCGGACGGATCCGCTGGATCCGGGGACGAATCCCAAACCGGCGCCCTCGCCTGAGACATCCCCGCAAATCCGGCCCCGGGGGAGGTGGCCAGAGAAGCCCAGAGCGGCTTCCGGCACCGTTTCCGGACGGATCCGGACGGATCCGCTGGATCCGGGGGCGAATCCCAAACCGGCGCCCTCGCCTGAGACATCCCCGCAAAACCGGCCCCGGGGGAGGTGCCCACAGGAGCCCAGAGCGGCCTCCGGCACCGTTTCCGGACGGATCCGGACGGATCCGCTGGATCCGGGGACGAATCCCAAACCGGCGCCCTCGCTTGAGACATCCTCACAAAACCGGCCCCGGGGGAGGTGCCCAGAGGAGCCCAGAGCGGCCTCCGGCACCGTTTCCGGACAGATCCGGACAGATCCGGTGGATCCGCGCCCCGGGGGAGGTGCCCAGAGGAGGAATGAGGAGGAGGAGGAGGAGGAGGAGGAGGAGGAGGAGGAGGAGGAGGAGGAGGAGAAGATGATGGAGCTGCGGGGTGGAGGAGGACAGACGGAGGCAAGAGAAGGATGGAGGAGGAGGAGGAGGAGGAGGAGGAGGAGGAGGAGGAGTAGGAGGAGGAGGAACCTCATCCTCACCCTCGCCAACAAGCGCACGCACCTTCTTCTATATACAGAAACTCCCGATCAACCGCAGAGCGGCCGGCTAGTAAGAAGAAGAAGAAGAAGAAGAAGAAGACATAGCCCGCGAGGCGCGGGTCTCGGGCGTCGGCCCTGTGTGAAGCTCCCAGTGGAGCATCGTGACACGGTCGAGGGGCTGCCTGACGAAGCATGCGTACTTCAGCTTGCAGAGCCCACCCCCTCGCCTGGCAGGTGCGCCGTGGCGTCGGAGGGGGCGGACGTGGCCTTGCCGGACGCCCATCGGCGCCTGCCGCCCCTCTACGAAATCGTTTTTTTTTGTTGTTTTTTTTTTTTTTGTTTTTTTTTTAAAAAAAAAAATGTGGGGCTCGGGATGGCCGCTCTCCTGCCGGGGCCCCCGCCCTGGGCTTGGGCTTTCCCCGGGCCGGTCCCGCACGGGTCCCCCTCGGTGTGGTCCGGGGGGGGGGGGGCTGCTGCTTGCCTGCTCGGCGCGCGGCCGCTGTGCCCCGACGCCCAAGCGGAGCAGCCCTTCCGGAGCGTGAGGCTGGTGGCGGCGCGCAAGAGGGGGGTGTGGGGGAGGGGGGAAGGCTTCGTCGAAGCACCCTGCTTCTCAGAAGACCCCGGCCCTGCGTCTGTAGAGGAGACCAGCGCCGACTGAGAAGCGGGGGCGTGTCCAAGAAGCCTTCCCCCCTCCCCCTACCCCCCTCTGCGCGTGGCCGAGGCTGCACGTTTTGAAGACCAGCCTTCGAGTCGGGGATCGTCTACAGAATTGACTTACTCCAGATTTGTTCGCCGAGTCTACGAAACATACGTAGATCTGACGGAAAGTTTATATCGGGGTGAATCAGAATTGCGGGGTAAGTCAATTCTGTAGTCGATCCTCTAACCCAAGTCTCCGGTCAAAGCACGGTACACTTCTCTAGTGAGACTCAGCTCGCAGGTGTGGCATCAGCTCTCGCGGCAGTGACCCTGTCGGTGAGGGCGGCAGTGCGGCATAGCGCCGCCCACGCTTTGGGCCCCTCTTGTTTTGTGTGGGGCGGCGCATCACCAGATCTTCTTTTGATCCCAGCTCTCAATCCCTACTTGCAGGTGCGAGTGCTGCCAGCGGGTTCTGGCAGAACAAACATCCTGCCTCTCGTCTCCTCCCTCCTCCTCCTCCTCCTCCTCCTCCTCCTCCTCCTCCGCCTCCTCCTCCTCCTCCTCCTCCTCCTCCTCCTCTCCTCCTCCTCCCCTCCTCCTCCTCCTCCTCCTCCTCTCCTCCTCCTCCGCCTCCTCCTCCTCCTCCTCCTCCTCCTCCTCCTCCTCCTCCCTCTCCTCCCCCTCCGCCGCCTCCTCCTCCGCCTCCTCCCTCCTCCTCCTCCTCCTCCTCCTCCTCCTCCTCCTCCCCCTCCTCCTCCCGGTCCTTGTCCAGGGAGCCCCCGCCGAGGGAGAGCCCCCACAGCTGCGGCAGCGCGCCCGCCTCCAGCGCGCGGAGCAGGGCGCCCGCGCCGCGGCCGCGGAGCCCGGGCACGGCGTTCATCCTGACTACCTACCAGACCACCCCAACCCAACCCGAAGACCCGAATTTCGGGTTGGGGGGGTAAGGGTTCCATATGTGTTTTTTCGATGTTTCCCGACGCCCCCCCACTGGAAATCGAGGGTAAATCTGAGCCTTCGGGTTGGGTTGGGGTGGTTTGGTGGGTGGTGACATCCGGAGCCAGCGGGCGCGGCGGGCGAGCTGCAGCAGGGGCACGAAGCCCTCCACCTCGTCCTGCAGATCATCCCATAGCTCGGGCGTGGGCGGTGCTGGGTGCAGTGGGGCCTGATTCAGCGACGTGGACTGGGGGGCGCCCCCCGGGCCCCGTTCCACGCACCCGGGCTGCCGTCACCCGAAAAACGCCAGCTACGGCAGACCTGGTTGAGTGATTCTGGCCCATTTAAGGGCTCCGGGGCCCTACCACGAAACAGGTCCCCTTACCTGGGGTCCTGGCCATACCCGAACAACTAGAGGCCTCCCGGGTGAGGTCCGAGTGGGTGGGCTCGGAGGATCCCGCCGCATCGCCAATGCGTCGCCGACGCATCGGCGGTGCATCGGCGATGCACCATGCATCAGCACGACGTCGGCGTGGAGATGGTTCCGAAAGACAGCAACTGGGCATCGTACCCATGGCTTCCGTCCCCATTGCGGGCGCGCCGATCAGAGGAACTGATAACGCTGCTCGCCACGGCTGGATGCTCCTGGACGTTCTGGACACAACGCTCATCAGCAGAGGTCCGTGTAGCAGCGGCATCGGTGTCTTCTTGCGTCCCCACTCCTGCGACCACCCGCGGCCGCTGAAGTCGAGCCCTGCGACGCCGCGGAAGGCGAGCGCGATGGCGGTCTCGTACAGTTGGATGACTCGGCGGCGCGCTTCCAGGGGGCGAATGCAGAGGGGGCGGCCTTCTTAAAAGGCGTCTGGGTCTCTCAGAAGCCCTCCAGCCTTCTCATACATCCCCGGGCCTTCTGGGACGCCGCTCGTGTCTTCCGGGAAGGCTCAGAAGACATCCCCAGAAGGCCAGAAAAACCCTCTGAGCCTCCTGGGATGGCCCAGCCCTCCCGCCCTCCCCCCTTCGGGCGCAGCCGAGGATGGCGACCTCCAGCTCCGCCGCGCCGTTCGTGAACGTCCTCTGCCGCATCGACTCGGCGAAGCGGGCGGGGTCGACCGGCGCGCGGTCCAGTGGGCTCCTCCCCTCCGGGTCCCCGGCGTCGATCGCGGGGGGCCACACGGAGCCGTGGGCGCTTTTCACGAGGCAGGAGGCCGCGTACTCGAAGGTGGGCCAGCCCCGCTCGCAGTACGGCCGCGCGGCCGGAAGGCTCGTCAGCATCAGCGTGGTGGGCCACGCGTGGGCGTAGAAGAGGTCAAGGTTCCCGAGGGCGTCGCGAAACGCCACCTCCTCCTCCCTGTCGGGGGGACGTACAATAGGGGCCCGACCACAAGAGACCTTCCACACAACAAAAAAACAACCCTGCGACCCCAGGACGTCCATTCGTTTTTGGTGTGGGAGCGTCACACTTCCCAAAGCAGAGCCATCGAAATCCACGAGCCCCAGGGCACCTTGGAGGCAAGCAGGGTGTCTTGGCACGGGCCTCCACTGCAAGACTCGGGAACGGGGGGCTCGGGCTGGCCTCACAGGGCCGTTCCGAAAAAAACGAGACCGGGCCTGAAATCTCATGCGGATTCCCGCTGCAAACATCCGACGGAAACTGTACAGTCAACGTTCAGAGACGCGCCCGTCAAGAAGCGTCGGCACACCAGAGTTCGGGCAAGCTCGACTCTTGCTGAAGGGGCCCTGAGACACACAAATAAATACACACAAATAAAACTATTCCCCATATTTTCCCCTATTTTCTGGGTTTTTGTCTTCCCCCCCACTTCCCATATTTTCCTATATGTTCTGGGAAATCGAAGATTAATTGTGTCTGTGTGTTTCTTTCCCTCCTGACTTGCGTCTGCCCGATCCTGGTCCGGGCGCCGCGAGCGTCCCTCTGGTGGACGCTGCACCAGTCCAGGAACACGCCGTAGTCGTCCGGCCAGTACCTGAACCTCGGGTCGCTCCCCGCGTCCCTCTTGGCCTCGAGGCGGAAGGATAGGAGGGACCAGCTCACGGAGGGAAGCATCGACCTTGACTCGGCTATATATATATATATATATATATATATATCGCCCGCAGATGGGTCGATTCGATGATGCGTTTCTCCGTGATCCTATCCCGCCAGTGATTCTCGTCGTCTGGCTTTTGGGTCAGAACTCGGGTTTCCAACGGCCGCTGGGGACGATCTGGCAACCCCTGGAACGCTCTCGGTGAGGCGCAGCTGCTGGAACGCATCCCGAGGCTGGAAGACCGTCGCGAACCGACGAAACCAACAGAAAACGTCGAAACTCGGACCTGGAAAACTCGAAACGTCGGTCGACATGCCCCCTCTCAGCCCATCCATCGGGGTGCCCCTGGCCCAGGGTGCCCCCAGCTTGTCGCTGCATTTGGGAGCCCCTGGGGCCCTCGGGGGCCTCGTGCGGGGCCTGCTGGAGGCCATGGGGTCCTCTCTGGAAATCCTGGCGGCACCTCGGTCCGGGGGCACGTCGGGCAACGCACGAGTCTAGCGAGTCACCAGCAACTTGGCCACGCGCAAAGGGGGTATTCGGGGATGGACAGACCCCCACTCCCTGTCCAAGGGGGAAGGGGTTTGGGCCCCCTTGAAGCTACCCCCCTCCCCCTTGGACCTCCCCTGCTGGAAGCCCCCCCCCCCTTCTTCTCCCGCCCCTCGGAAGCTACCCCACCCCCCCCCCCCCTTCGGGGATGGACAGACCCCCCTTTAGTAAAACGTGGTTTAGTGAAAGCGACCTGAGGCCCAAACCTGGCGGGCGCAAGCCTGGAAAATCACGGCCGCGGCGCCCTCTCGAGAACCGAAAACGGACAGTTCACTAATCGACGTGTCACTGTTGGGGGTTCTGTCCACCCCCGAGGTATGTGGTCGGGGGGAAGGCCTCTTACAAAGAGGCTGCTTCTTCCATGGGGCGAACCTTACATCTATACACAAGCCCCGCGCCTTGTGTTAGAAGCAGGGGCGTTCCCAGGAAGCCCTCCCCGCTCCCCCTGCCCCCCATTCTGCGCGTGGCCGACCCTTGGGCGAGGGGCACTCTTGGCAGCACCGGAATGTAGCGTCCCCAGTGCAGCCTTCTGCTGCAGCAAGGCGTCCGCGATAGCCAGGAGCGTACTGCCGTCCGGGTCTGGGTGCCCAGGCGTACGCAGAAGGACGGAAAAACAGCATGCACTGGCTGCGCGCAGGAGGGGCACAGATGGGGGATGGGGGGCAGGCGTCGTGCAAGGAGGCCGCTCCTTAGAAGGCGCGGGCCGTACATCTACAGGTAAGGCCCGCGCCTTCTGAGAAGCAGCCTCCTTCTAAAGAGCCTCCCCCCTCTCCTGCCCCCCTCCGCGCGTGGCCGAATCTGTACACATCCCCTGCCCCAGGCCCTGCCTGTCACGTGCCCAGGAGGAGCGGTGAACACGCCCTCCTGGCTTGGCCAGGGAGGCACAGTGCTGCAACGCTCCTGGGCCCACGATCGGCCAGCGAAAGACCCAAGCATATGCAGTTGTGGGTACCGCAATTGTGAATATCTTCTTCGGTGGCACTCCCGATGGGGCCACGAAACGCTGTACTGGGTGGGCGAAACGCAGGGAGCAAGGGCTGTGCTGGGTGGTGGCGGACGCATGCGGTCAGTGCCACTGGGACCTTCGGTGGAGCCCCCTATGGGGCCAAGAAGCGCTGTACTGGGTGGGTGAAACGCAGGGAGCAAGGGATGTGCTGGTTGGTGGTGGACGCATGCGGGCGGTGCCACTGGGTAGGTGAAGCCCCCTTTATGGGGCCACGAAAAGCTGTACTGGGTGGACGAAACGCAGGGAGCAAGGGCTCTGCTGGGTGGTGGCGGACGCATGCGGGCGGTGCCACTGGGACCTTCGGTGGAGCCCCCTATGGGGCCACGAAGCGCTGTACTGTTTTGTGGCCACCCCCCCTTAGGCTAGATATAATTTACTAAATCTACGCTGCAAGTCGGTTGAGATAGCTCACTTAGGCCAATCCATAACTAGGATGTAACAGCATTTGCGCAGTTGACATGCGCATCACAACTGAGCCCTACTCATGATAATATCGGCCGGACCATTTGCCATCCAGTTGCGCCGCCCCAGCCGCGAAGATAACTATTTGCTAACTTAATAAACTTATCATAACTTTTCTGTAATTTAAAATCATTGTTCAATGGTTGCGATGTTTCTGTGTTGGCTGGGGGCGGGGGCGCACACGTTGGGACACGTGGCCCCCCACACTTCAAACACCATCACAATAAGCAACTCTCCTCCTCCTTCCCCCCTCTCCTCTTCTCTCTCGTCCGTCGTCGCGGTCGTCGCCCGAAGTTCGAAGATACAGGTTCCACGTTTAACGTCTTTATCCTTGCCCTCCTGGGCGTCCCGGGCCGCCTCGCGGGAACGGTTGGATTCTCCTTGGGATTCTTGTCAGGGCGCGAGGGTCTGAGCGCCGTGGCCCTCGTCGCCGCCGCCGTCGTCATCGTCGTCGTTGCCGACCTGTTCGTCGGGGTCACCTTTCAGGGTGCAGGTTTGTTAGGTGTTTTGAACATTCGGCCTGGTCTTCCCAGGCCATGGGGCACGCTCGTTGCCGCGGTTGGATGATCATCGGTTTTCTGATCAGAGCAAGGTTTCGGCGCGGTCTTTCTCGTCGTCGCCACTGCTGCCGTCGTTGTTGTCAGTTGGTCTTCGTTGTCCTGCTTGCCGTTGCCGCTCCAGAATTCAGGTTTTGAGAAATTGGGTTTGCCTTCCTGCGCCTCCTGGGGCACCCTCGTGGCAACGGTTGGATTATCTTCGAAATTCTGGTTAGAGTGCGGAGGGTTGGGTGCTGTCGTCTTCGTCGTCGATCGAAGATGGTGGTTTTCAGTGTTTGGAATTTCGTCCTGGCATTCCTGCGCGTGCGTGGGCGCCCACGTTGCCGCGGCTGGATTTCCCTCGACGTTCTGGTCAGAGGGCGTGGGTGTGGGCGCCGTCGTCGTCGTCGTCGTTGTGCGACTGTTTGCAACAGTGCGTCCTATGGGGGGAGGCCCCACCTGGGTGAAACAGGCGCTGGAAACGGCCAAAACCTACTCCGTGGGAATGGGGGGGAGGGGGCTCGAGGGCCCGAGCCGATCAGCAAAACAATGCCATGGATAAGAAGAGGACCACTTGCACTGGGCTTAGTGGGCCCTGGAAACGGCAATGCCGTTTTTTCACCGTTTTCAAAAAATGTCCCTTGAAAATGGAAACGGCAAAAAAAACGGCGACCGGAAACGGCAAAAAAACGGCTCCAAGATTGGAACCCGAGCCGGAACCGGTCAAAAAACGGCAAAACGGAACCGGTGAAACAACGGCGTCGGAACCGGCCCAAAAGACGGCAAAGCGGAACCGGCAAAAAAACGGGCCTGTCGTTTCCAGGGCCACTCTGGCCCTGGACAGACTTCGTGACCCCCCCTTTCCCTCTCCCCCCCTTGCGTTCGGCCCGAGGGTATTCCAAAGCTCGAGATGATGGGGCGGAGGCCACAGCCCTCTCAGACGACCAGTTGTGGACCCCCCCCCCCACCTCCTCCTCCTCCTCGTCCTCCTCCTCCTCCTCCTCCTCCTCCTCCTCCTCCCCTTCCTCCTCCCTCCTCCTCCTCCTCCTCCTCCTCCTCCTCCTCCTCCTCCTCGGCCTCGTCGCCCTGGATCGCGGGCCGCTCCGCTCGGCGCGCGAGGCGCGCCGCTCTCCGGAGAGCGCGCCTCGCGCGCCTGGGGCGGCGCCGCCCGGAGGCTCCGCCGGGGGGCTCGGGCGCCGGTTCCCGAGACATGCGCGCGGGCCCCCCCCCCCCAGAGTGCTCGAGTAGGGGGGGCAGGGGATCGACTGCAGAGTCGACGTACCCCAAAATGGACTCCCCGTCGGATCTACGAGGCATATACCTGCCATGCTCCGCAGATCCGCGGACCATTCTGCACACTTCTCTCGTGGGCTCGACGAGCGAATCGGGCTCGGGGAGACAGCAATTCTGCAGACGATCCCCCTACCCGAAGTGTCCCTTCGTGCCGCTCTTCCTCCTTCGAGTAAACCAGCAGTACGAGATCGACACCACCGCGGTGCGGCGGTGGACCTGGCGGCTCGCACAAGGGGGCGGAGGGAGGGGGGATGCTTCTTAGAAGGCGTTTCTTAGGAGGCTGGCTGCCCCTTAGAAGGCGCCGGCCCTACATCTACACAGAAGACCCACGCCTTCTATCAAGCATGGGTGCTTTTAAGCAGATCAGCCCTCCCCCCTCCCCCCTTATCCCCCTCTGCGTGTGGCCGAGGACCGGCGCAGGCACGAAGGCCTCCTCGGGGAGCTCCTGGCGGGCCGGCAGTGCCAGCCTGCTGCGAGCCTCCGCGTCCCCCGCCGCCGACCTCGCCTCCTCTTGGGGTGCCCCACAAACGCCGACGCCTCTGCCGCGGCCGTGCCGCTTCAGCCCTCTCCTCCTCCGCCTGCTCCGCCTCCTCCTGCTGCTACCTCTCAGTGAGCAAGAGGAGGAGGAGGAGGAGGAGGAGGAGGAGGAATAGGAGAGGAGGACGAGAAGGAGGAGGAGGAGGAAGAGGAGGAGGAGGAGGAGGAGGAGGAGGAGGAGGAGGAGGAGGAGCAGGGGGAGGAGGAGGAGAAAGAGAAGGAGGAGGAGGAGGAGGAGGAGGAGGAGGAGGAGGGAGGAGGAGGAGGGGAGGAGGAGAGGAGGAGGAGCAGGAGCAAAGGCAGGAGCTGGAGGAGGAGGGAGGAGGAGGAGGAGGAGGAGGAGGAGGAGGAGGAGGAGGAGGAGGAGGAGGGAGGAGGAGGAGGAGGAGGAGGAGGAGGAGGAGGGAGGAGGAGTGCTCCTGCCTCTGCCCCCGCCGCGGCCTCCACGCTGCCGGGCTCCCGAGTTTGCAGCGCATGCTGCGACCCCGTGCCTGTCACCTCGCAGAACTCGGGAGCGCCCGCTTCGGCTCGCTGGGCGCCGCGACGATCCGTGACTACGGCAGGTTCGTGTCGTGACGCCGATGGCGTTGGTTTTTCCTGACGCCGCGTGGATCGCTCAGCCTTCAACGGTCGCGGCTCTTCCTCCTCCTCCTCCTCCTCCTCCTCCTCCTCCTCCTCCTCATCCTCCACCTCCTCCTCCTGCCTTCAGTTTCGTCCGATTCTGCGCCACTGGCGGCGTTCAGCCTGGAACGACACCGGTGGGGTCGCCGCCGCGACGACGCGAACCGCCGCACTCCCCGCACCTCTCGTGGGGCGCCTTCTGACCAAGATTCCGAGGCGAGTGCGGCCGCGGCGGCCAGGAGCGGTCACCCCGAGGAGAGCCGCCCGCACGGGCATGGGCTTTCGGCGAGGGCCCGCGCAGCTCTCTCGGATCGGCGCTGGGCCCCGCGCGCGCTCGCAGCGCCTGGAAACCCGCGCGGGCCTCCGAAAGCTCCCTGAACAACCCCTCCGGAAGACACACACACCACGCCATCGCTGGGACGTCCACTTCCCATTCATGTTGCGGTGTCGTGCGTGTCCGTTTTGCTCGATGGTCCAGGATGGTCCTCGATGGTCATCGCCGAGAAAAATGCACACGTCCGAGCGATGCCAGGACACATATATACATATATATATGTATATATATATATGTATAATGCACTAGAACCATCGTCATCATTGTCATCCTCATCCCCGTCATCTTCATCGTCATCGCCATCACCATGGTCACCTTCACCATCACAACAATCATCAGTATCACCATTATCATCAGCATCGTGATCATCATCGCCATAATCGTCATCGTACTTTTCAGCAGCATCATCCACATCATCAACATCTGGTTGGTCGTCGTTGGCGTCGTCGTCGGCATACACATCGTCATCATCATCAGCGTCATCGCCGTCATCATCCCCGGTCCACTGCAGTCCCATTACCCTCCTCCTCTTCCCGTTCTCCCTCTTCTCATCATCTTATATTAATCCTTTTCCTCGTCGGCGTTTCCACGAAATGGGTCCCTGTTCCTTCACCTCCTCCTCCTCCTCCTCCTCCTCCTCCTCCTCTTCCTCCTCCTTCTCCTCCTTCTCCCTGTCTTCCCCGCTCTTCGGTGTGTCTCGCCTTGTGTTCCTTCACCTACTTCACCTCCTTGCTCCTCTCGAGCTCTCTCCATCCTGCGCTCCCCTTCCCTCCTCGGCCTCAGCGTGTCTCCCCGAGCCAGAAAATCAGAGAACAAGAGAACCTCACAAAAACAATGTCCCTCCTCCTCTTCCCCCTCCTCTTCCCCCTATTCGTCCTTCTGATCTTCCTCCCCCTCCTCCTGCTCCTCCTCCTCCCTCCTCCGCCTCCCCCTCTTCCTCCTCTCCCAGCACCTCCCCCTCCTCCTCCTCCTCCTCCTCCTCCTCCTCCTCCTCCTCCTCCTCCTCCTCTCCTCCTCTC